GAATTACATTGGTCTTGTCATAGATGTCGACAGTTAATGTTTCTTCAATCAACTTTCTTTCTTTTTTAACTTTTTTGGCTGCAGGGTCTGAATCTGTTCAAGTGGTAGACGCTATGGCTGACATAGGGGCTTCCACACTAACCACGCTCATCGTGCATTGTCAAAGAGACTATTGTGCTTTGCTGAAAGACTATTGAAAGTAAGGTCAAACTGAGATTTTAATAAATTTGAATGAGGATCAAACTGGGTACTGCTAAGTGCTGGCGCTTACTGCAGCCCCTTCCTTTTCATTTAGTTTTGGCCTTTTTCTAATTCGCATTGAAATTAAGTTAAAAGGGAAGTCGCCGTATCTGCTTTTCGTAAAGAAGGAGAAGAAAGCCCACAGAAAGAGCTTTCATGTAATAATTTTACAGAACAATTCAAGATCTTAGGAGAAATTGAGGGCGCCTATGCTATTGTATGTCACGTTTGCGTCTGAGTGCAAAACGGAAATAGCAAAGACAAGCCCTATATAAGTGAAGGCAGCCAGTTTCTGTGTTGTGAAGGTGACGGTGTTTCAAATAATGACGTTCGGGGAAGATCCGATCCACTAGGCGATCGGAATCCAAACCTAGCTTTAGCCCTACAACCCTGTGGACAGGATATAATTTTCAAGACCCTAAGAAGAGAGTCGATATGTTCGACCAAAAAAAAAAAAAGAGAGTCGATATTAATGCATAATGCATATGACGAAAAGGCGGAAAACTTCCGAGTGGGAAATCCATGTTGCAGCAAGAGGAATAGCGTGGATAAGCAGAGTCTCCAACCTGACTCTGCAATTGTCTGCTTGAACGAGGTGCCCAGATGCAACTAATCCACCGAAAATGAGCAAGAGTGATTGGCCAGAGATAGCAAGCATTAACTCAATCTTAAACTATGGCATCCAACCTCGTTACTTACTATGTGCAAAGGAACTATGAAGAGCAATATCTTGCGAGTATGTCATGCAGGAGAAGGCATGGATCCATCAGCATAGGCTTGAGCGCTGTCCTGTCCGATCAACAATGTCTTCCGAGAAAGAAATAAACTAAATCAACTCCGAATTGTTCAGTTGGAAAATTTCACCGAAGAAAATCAAAGTATATCATGCACATCTACCAGGAAATAAACCACGTGTTCTACAAGGCGTGTATAATCAGAAAATCAATGAGAGGCGTGTACAGGATGGCCGGGAAATGTTGAATCTGGAAATCATTCTAGTCATGTTAGACATACTTCATCAGAAAGTTTAGACTTTACAATTGAAATTTTTATAGAAACACATGCAATGATTAAAAAACTTAAGACTTTCGTGTACATCCTGGCGGCAACTGCGTAAAAGGCAGCAGAGCCATCATCGCCGAGCAGGTTTGAACTTCAAGTGGAAGATAGACTGGTAATACAGTCATTTAACTTTTCTCCATAACTATGGGCCTATCTGAATCTAACAAACTGAAAAGAGGAAAAGAACCACAAGCAATAAAATCCTACTGAAACATTTTGAACCATTAATCTGAAGCAGCAGTTGTTTATCAGAGAATCGTACTGACAACAAGACAAAAAGAAGGCTGTAATAGTCACACAACCAATAGTATCTCATGACCTGTTTGGAAAACTCCGAAACTTCACTTGACAAAGTCAAATTTTTATGGCAAAATAGGAATGTGCCAGAAATTGTGCTTGTAGTAAACGTGATGTGCATACGTGATGTGCATCATTCCCAATTTAACTAATTTGCATTGGTTAAGATTGCATTTGTTCAAGCATGACCTGAAGTTGGACAACAATGTGATAGAAAGACCTCTCGTGTCATTCCTGCTGATATCTTTCCCGATACAACAAAGGATGACTTTCATTTATAATCAACACCAAACGATAACGTATCGAGCAAGTGAAAATCAAAAGAAGCTAGACATATATGTGCGACATCTAAGGCAGAATTAATGTGGTTCAAGAACCAACGAGAATCCCTTGAATGACCTTATTCAATCAAGGCGCATCGCATGAGGTCAATACTTACAAAAGGGGTTCACTATGCTTCGTCCCATCTTTTACATCGTGAATTTCAAATGACAAACTGTTCTTCTGAACTATGTAATCTTTTTGAATGTTCAATTCACGTATGCATGAATACGGACATATATGAAAGGTAACTACTGTCATTCGTGGCAACAGTTTGTCTTCATATAAACTGCGAAATTGTTACCATGCTCTGAGACAGAAATGGGGGAAAGAATTAAACACATAACTAGCCAATAGCTAATCCCCTTAAAGAACCAAAGATATGTACTCACCTAACCATCCAATGCACCCAAAATGCAGCAATTACACAGCACGCATGACTGAGGGACTAATCAAATGCTTCAAGTAACACAAAGGAAAATATTAATCCACATTGGAAAAGTTCAGGAAGAAAACAGAGACCTGGAAAGAAGAGTCCTTTCCTTTGCAGGGAGACTGCTACTTATATCATCTGCCCTTCAATCAATCCCCAATCCACATTGGAAATTACACTATCAAATCTGGAATTGCAACAGCTACTTCTTGCCAGTTTGGAAAGGTAAATGGAGTGCAACAAAACTTTTGGAAACAAATTAGAAAAATCAAATCTCAAGAAAGGTTGCAGATGCATGATTAGAGGATAACAGCCGGAGTTCTACCATTGCCAGAAAACTTTCACTTTGGTCAACAAGCAAACACAAACTAGAGTGTCCTCTGTAATGCTCTCTCTGGAAGCAGCAAACATGTACTTTTTTATTGTCATGTCGCTAGACAGGTATGGTTGTTAAGACATTAGAACCGATAAACTTCAACATTGACAGATAATGTAATGGGTTGAGGCAATTCTAGATCCGAGTAAGATTGGTCTAGCTGATGATGTGATTGAGCCTTTTAAAATCTCTAGACTACTAATATTAAATTTATTCGTGGATGTGAAGGAATCTCGTAAACATGAAAAGGCTGCTTTTAGATTATATAAAAGCATTAAGAACGTAAAAATCTTAATAAAATTCTATATTGGATCTCACAGAGAAGTACACTAAATGCTCGATCTGACTTGGAGGAAATGACATCAAGAAGGATTTTACTTGGAGCAGACCACCACAAGGAACTGTGAAGACCAATTTTGATGCTGCATTTACACAAGAAACACATTTCAGTGGCAGCAATAGCAAGAGATCATTTTGGAGAGGTGCTGATGTTGATTGGATCTTGGAGATAAACTCACAATAGATCAAGGAGAAGCATGGGCAGCGAAAATTGCATCTCTACTGGCAAGATCACAAAGCTGGCAAAACATCATTTTAGAGGGAGATAACATAAATGTCATCAAAGTATATCTTCTTCAGAGTCTCCTTGGTCAATGGAAGCCTTCGTAAATGATGTTAAGACATTGATGACAGAGAAGCCCTCGGTAACAGCAAGTTGGATTCCGAGCTAAGCAAACATGGCAGCCCATAAACTAGCTAGACAGAAACTTTCTCGTAGATATAACGGATGCCTCAACCTCCTTTTGTTCTTGCACTTAAGGCTCCTAATACTCTCACTTTTGGTTTTGTAATTTCTGGACAGTTCTTGGAATTATCTTGCAGACTCCTCTCTTATAAATATTATATTGCTTACTTGGCTAGCGAAAAAAAGAGAAAAGATTGTAAATTTGGAGCCATAGCCAAAAAGAAAAATTTCATAACCAAAGTATCTGAGGCAATAAACCAACACCCAAAATGTAACCCTGAGTTCGAGAAAAAAAAATTCTTAAAGATTCAAAGAAATAATCAGATAGGATCAAAAGCGAACCTCAATGTGGATGAGAAAACTTTGGAGCCAAATCCGAAATCCTTCAAGGAATGGTAGGTGCACTCTCATCCAAACACACTGCAACCCAAACAAAGCCCACACAATTTCAGCTGAGGCTCAAACTCAGATTAGTTTCTCTTTTTTGGTACATCCACTTAAAGTAACACAAAATTCATGAAATGAAATCATGCAGAGCTTGAACAAATTACCTGCGTTTTTTACCCCAGCATCGCAAAGCAAGATCAAGTCAACTAAAGCAGCGGGCATATTGAGATAATTGGCTGGTGATCAAGCACCGGGGCCCTCGGGCAGAGTGGAGGAGGAAGACGGCGACCGTGATGATCACCCGGTCTCTCTTGGTCCACCTCCTGTACCACGTCAAAGGGCAAAGTACGGTGGTGTTGACCATCATTTGCCGCCCTACTTGGTAGCAAAGTTGAACTGCTTGAGCTTGACGCATAGCAAGCATCCAAAGTCAACAACGCAGTATCAGAGACAAATACCATGAGTACATATTGTTATAGATAATGTTACTCATGAAGATTTCCTTATTTTTCCTTACAAAATTGATATGCATTGAGTAGTGGCAAAAATAATAATTTACTTTCATTTGAAGAAATTTATAAAAAAAACAAAAAGGAAATTGAAGTTGTAATCTATAATATCATTTCAAACTATAATTTCACTTTTAACCTTTGGCTTTTTTTTAAAAAAAATTTAGACTCACACACTCTGATTTTATTCCTTAACTCAAAACACCTGAAACTTTCACAACACACAAATTTGAGATGTAGATTAGCCAATCCAGAACACTCAAATGTTCAATTGGTAACCTTAAGCCAGTTTCACTTATCAGCAAAGCACAAGTAATGAAAGTCCTGATTTGTCCCAAGGAAACAGAGGATCCAATGGGAAGAGCTACAAGCAGCTCTTTTCACGGTACCACACATGTTGTTAAGAAACAGACAAACTAGCAATAAAAGGCTCGGTTTAACAAATATTAAAAACATAAAGGTGATGGTAACTGATAAAACGTCCTGAGTCCCCACACATAGTTGAAAACCAGAAGACAACACACCGGGCGAATAAGGTGCTGTGATTAGTGCTTGGCACTCACTTGAAAAGTTAGAAATAAAACAAGGGTTCATCATCAGCCGCAGTAAATGGAGTTGTACAATACGCCGTTTCAGGAATATAGTCATCATTTCCATTCCAAACAATTCATGAATGCTCGCACAACAAAAAGGGCAGAGGATATTCTTGCATCAGTTTTTGGTGCTAGGACAGGCTTAAATATCTATAATCAAGAGGTACACACGTACTGTAGACCTTTACTATTTCTAGAGGCTACCATATAAATCTCTGAAACCCAGGCTCATGATCCCACTGGAATGGTTGAAATAAAAACATCGACATTGTGAAAATATTTGTCACTACATAGAGGAAGCCCATCAGGAACCAACTTTGATTATCAGTAACATTAGAATGCAGCATCAAAAGATAGAATGGCACAGTGTAATATCTGAACTCGATCAATGGAGCAGGAACAAGAATTGCAGCAGTAGCTAGAAAATAAGCTACAATCCAGATCCTTTTTCGATATCTTCCTGCCAAAAAAAGGATTAAACCACCTTTCACTTCACTATATGAATTCAGATAAAGTGGAGTCAAAAGAGCTGTGTACTGATCAAGACTAGCATATCAGCAGTGGACTCACCCAAAACACTAAAAATCGAAAGCCATGAGTATGCGTAAAGCGGAACCAGAAGATATCTCATGGACCAATGCGCATTGATGACCTTCCGCCATAGATAGAATGGATAGTGCCGATTATCAGCAAGGAGATAGGGATGGGCTATGCTGCATGGTCAAATTTCCAGAGTGATGAATCAGGTGTAAGAACCAAATGCATGTGCATCATATGGTTTTCTATAATTGAAACATTTATGCATGCCCATTAGCAAAAGTTGATTTTTACTTCAAGCACGGTTAATTTTTAATAAGCAAGCCAGTTTCTTAAACAATGGTTAACTGATCTGACCTGAAAAAATGAACAGAGAGGAAGCTGGCACAAATAGCTATAAGAACTTGAAGAAAACTTAGAGGTCTATTTCTCCACAAAGACCGGGAGATTCTTGCAGCTTGACCCCACGAGAAATGCACAGGCGCCATGGCAAGTGTAGAAACCAGACCAAAGTACATTACCTGTGCAAAATGAGGAGAAACAGTGTGTGCATCTTTTGCACCTGTAGCATAATGATGTAAGGTCAGAACTGAACTCCAAACTACCTAAAACAGGAATAAAAAACAGGAAAGACAGAGACAGAGTCAAATAAAGAAAACTGATAAATGAATTATACCAAGCACTATGCTTCCGTTCCACCTGATGAATGCAATAAAAGCCACGAGGATCATGACAAAGGGTACAAAATGCACTAAAATCTCCCACTTCATATGCCAAGAAGTTGACAAAATGGCCTTAATCTCATCTAGCAAACCTGATAAAAATAAAAGAAGAAAAAACAGTTCAACTAATGTGCATAGCTTTTCACGAGCTGATGTGCGACAACGAATTGATATAAATTGTTTCAGGAAACCTGGCATCTCAGATGAAAATATATTTGCAGTAGGTCTAACAATTTCACCAGCATCCACTGCACCATTGTACTTTCGCCTTCTCAAATTTGAGCTGATTTTACCCTTCTTGCGAATTAGCTGACTTGGTTCATTGATTGGACCATCAATATCAGCTACTTTTACATGAAACTTTCCAGAAAGAAGAGTAATGTCTATGATTCCAGTGCAGGCAGCAAAAAGAATCCATACAATATTTGTTTGCCTTACGATTACAGACAAGGCGCCAAGCTGCAAAAGACATTTATGAGAAAAGTTACTGAAAACTAGACAAATGACTAAATATCTTTAAACTTCACTTTTGCAATAATTACTACACAGTCCTTTTAATCAGTTCAATGGAATATTCTTTTCATTCAAACGCATGACAAAGAACTGTAATTATCTCAATATGGATTTTAATGATTCGCTATTGTCGTCCAAAATTGCAAAAAAGCTTATTAAGGTGTAAAATCTTTTAGCATCTGGCAACAACTAAAAATATAAGAATCCACCTCATGACAAAAGCATAAAAAGAATGGCATATAGAAATTAATACATTTCATTTTAGTCAGGAGTTGGTCGATCGATTAAAGAATGAATAAATCATCATAACAACTGAAATTCTTTCATGTGGATAAATATGATAGATGGCTTGCAATTATTCTGCATCACCGAATATTTAGACTTGGGACCAGAAATAGGCATATATGGTTTCGACAACATGACGAGATTGATAGAAAAAATCAGTCGACCTCTAGGCATCAATCAAGAAACATTCAAACTAAATTCATTTTTCTAGAACTAGACTCTTCTTTAACTGTATGTCTCAATCTGACCTCTAGAGGACTAAAAATCCTCCAGCACATACAATGAGTTCATCAATTGTGTCAAACTTTTCATTTTGCTACTCTCCACACTCTGTACTTCCTTCTGACACTGAAACTATTTCACCAACACGAGCCATACTGCAACGTGATAATTAAAAGTATCTAACCGAAAAGTTTAGCTAAGGAAAGCACACTCACTAGCGCACTTATCCAGTATCTCTTCTTCAAGCAAGCAAGATACATAGCCAGAACCATAGTAAGGGATGCAGCATCAGTGTAATACAGAAAAGTGAAGAACCACTGTAGAGGATATGATGCTAAAACCACTGCACAAGCTGTAGCGTTCCTATCATTGACCCCCGGTCTCAATAGTGTCATTATCTCGTATACAAGAACACTGCATATCACGGCCAAGACAGCATTCACAGAACGAAGAATTGCTGGTGAGCAAATATCCGGAAAAGATGAGATTGCTCGAGTAAAGATCATCCCTGGGTACAAAATCCCAACATAGGCAAGTGAGAGATAATACCTGAAAAACAAATTACCAGTCAACTTCTGTAACTCAACATCTCCGCCTAAAAAAGTAGCTAAGTAATAATTCTATGGTTTTTTTTCCCTTGGCTGTTATCTTGTCAAAAAGTGAGAAAAAGGCAAACATTGTAGGCCTCCGCAAACTACACAAAAATCAAGTGCCATAAAAGTTATTACCTTCTCCTACAGAAGGGGAAAAAAGAAAAGAAAAACTTGTCACGACATACAATTACTCGAAAAGGACCAAAAATTGGTTTGAGGAGAACTCCATTGAGTCAGTCAATTCATGATTTGGTTTCAGTCACAAGCTATACGTAGAGAAAAGGTAAACGCACTCTCCTTGCAGCCGCTCATTCTACATACATCTAACAAAGTCTTCTCGTCACTTCCATTGCCTTGCAATACAGCTTTGAGCTCAATAATCGTCATAAACGTTAGCAAAAGAGAACCCTCTTAAATGCACAACCAGTACGAAATGCTGTCCATCCTAATTCCAACACCCAGTGACATGAACATACCGAACCAGTTAAATCTAGCAAAACCATCATTTAGCTGGCAAAAATCCTTGTCTCTTGAAAAAGCAAAGAACTTAAAAGAAAACAGTAAGATGCCCAAAAGGAAGAAGGAAAAGGAGCAAAAGAAAATACAAGCCAGGAGGGGTGGTGATCATGGGATCCCAACTTCTGAAATTGCCTCTGCAGTACTGCTGAGCCTGAGGAATGTGAAATATCTCGTCCTGCACGCCAGTTCGGACAAGTAAGAGCAATCGAACAACAAGAACAGACCCAAAGGAATTTGCCCAACTCCGAAGAATCAGAAGAAAGTTTCCCCATCACTCCGTAATTCATTTACCATGTAAGGCTCAGGAACGACGCGATTCACGAGAATGGACATGGGAACGACCCATAAGCTCACGATCACCGCGACCGCGACTCTACCCATCAATCTCTCTCGCTCTCCCTGACGCACCTCGACGCTCGCAAAATCAGACAATGCCAGACGACCGAACTGAACAAGAACACAGCTTTACAAAAAAAAAAAAAAAAATACACACAGCAGCTTCAGGCACTTGTTGAATCCCGTTTCCGTCCTCCTTCAGGGTCGGACCATTCCGCACTCTGCAGAGCAAGATGGGGAGGATGCCGCCAGACTTCCGGAAGTTGGGGTGGGAAGAAACGCTGCCTCGTGCGGTCGGCCAATGCGATGCCGCTTCGATGTCGGGTCGAGAAGACGCTGGTGTCGGGTCCAGAGGAGCTCGAACACGAGCTATTCACATGGGCCTGTCTGGACGGGCTACGTCCGAGATCAAGCCCGTCGTCCCCTGACATGACACAGAGAGCAGAACTCACTCGCCCCGCGATGTTTCCCAGGTACAGTGCAGACAATTATTCGCAAAAAATAAATAATTTAAAAAATATTTTCTTAAAAATAAATTAAAAAATAATTTATAGTTCACGATAAAAAACAATCATGTTTAGGAAAAAGATTTCCAAATCATTCTCCGAAAAACAAACTGAGCATAAAGTGTCAGTGATGATGTCGGTCGGATTTAGATTGAGTGTTGTGAGGACTAGAATTAAGTGGACATGTGTCGCGATCTCAAAATAAAACAGCAAATTAATGGATGGTGAGGGGAAAGCAGATCTGCGTCCACAAAGGCCCTGATGGGGCGAGTCATGTGCCACTATAATAGTTGAGAAAATAGGGAAATTTTCAATTTGGGGTCCAAAGTGAGCCTATTTTCTCAAAATGAGGTCCCAAATGCAATCAGTCTCAAAATGGGGTCCCAAGTGTCCAATCAGTCTCAATTTGGTACCTGGGTTCGCCGGCTGGCCAAATAGTCACCGGCGGCGAGTTTTTTACTGTTCAGGTGGCCGGAACAGTAATTTTTACTTTTTAATTTTTTTTTTGCTTTTTTCTTTTTTCTCTATGGCCGGCGGAGGCTGCCCTCGCCAGCGTCGGGGAGGGTCGCCCCGGCGAGGGCGACCCTTGCCCTCGCCGACGTCGGGGAAGGCTGGGCGGCCCTCGCCCAACGCCGACGATGGCAATGGCGACTCTCGCTAGATCCGACGAGGGCCGCCCAGCCTTCCCCGACGTCGGCGAGGGCCACGGGCGCCCGCGCCCGCCCCACCGTGGCGAGGGCGGCCCTCGACCGCCCAGGCGAGGCGAGGGTGGCCCTCGTCCGACGCCGGTGAGGGTCGCCCTCGCCGTCGCCGGCGTCGGGTGAGGGCCACCCAGCCTTCCCCGACGTCGGCGAGGGCAAGGGTCGCCCTCACCGACGCCGGTGAGGGCAACCCTCGCCTGCGGCGTCGGGCGAGGTCCGTCGGGGAAGGCTGGGCGGCCCTCGTTGGGGTGGCCCTCCCTGACACTGGCGAGGGCAGCCTCCGCCAGCCATAGTCGGGGCCGGCGGAGGGAAGAGAAAAAAAAAGCAAAAAAAAAAATTAAAAAGTAAAATTACCGTTCCTACACCCAATGAAAAGACTCGCCGCCGGTGACTATTTGGCCACGGCCAACCCAGTACCAAATCGAGACGATTGGGCACTTGGGACCTCATTTTGAGGCTGATTGCACTTGGGACCCCATTTTGAGAAAATGGGCTCACTTTGGACCCCAAATTGAAAATTTCCCGAGAAAATATTTAGTGATTTGCAAGCTCCATGTCAATAGCTAACGCGGCGTGCATATCCTCATCCTGAACCAATTAAAAATTGACACGTCAATTTAGTTAAACAAAATAAAAAAACCTCAATCCATCTCGCTTTCCCTCCCCCATCTACATTTCCTCCTCCATCTCTAGCCGCCTTAAACCTAACCTCCCCGCCTCCCTCCGCCGTCGCCGCGAGCGAAATTGTTGGTGCTGCGTCCAAGGCGACCACTACTAGGTGTCCAATCTTCTCCAGCGTCTTTGTGGTTGACATTCCTTCGCTTAACTTCATTGCCGCAAATCAGATCTGGAGCTTAGTGACGGAGTTACAGATCTAAAAGTCGATTAATGTCTTTTCGTGGCCATGGACGAGTCGTTATCACTGAAGATGAAGTCGACCAGTGTCGGGCGTCCAACCTTCTTTGTCGCTGTTGCAGATCTAGAAGTCAACCAATATCTATGACGGTCACGGACGAATCTCTACTCGGAGAAAATGAAGATGAAGAAAAGCTTCACTTGCACCTTTAGATTCGGAGCTGCCATGCTTGTGGCCATAGCTCCAATTCTGGAACTCACGGCCTCGAGCTCCAGATGTGAAGCCATGGTAGTGAGCTCCAGATATGGAGCCATGGTCGCGAGCAACGATGGCTCAATCGGCGCCGGCAGTCACGGGACTGCCATTATTTCCTAGAATCTTCGCATGCTATCGTTTCCTTTACTTTAGCAAAACTATAAATGTAGTAGGAGCATGGCAATGAATTTCACATGATCGTAGGACATGGTGCAATGATTCCGAAGCAATAGGAAAAATCGAGGGACCAAAATGTAATTCCTGTGAATTTTCTTTTTACCCAATCGTTCCCTTTGCAAAAAGGGGCACGTATGGAGTTGTTCGAGAGCGCATCATTGAATTTCTGAATTGAATTGGCCGGAGCCAACACTACGCCAGGGTGGTTATCGCAAAAAAGGTGAGGCATCCGGGGGCAGAATTGCCACAAACCCCAAAGATCAAGGGGCACGGTGTAATTCCACCAAAGATATACGACGCCGTTTCTTCATGACCAGTTCAAATTCGAACGGGGCGGGGCGGGGCGGGGGCGGCTGCATTGCTCCTCCTCCGCCTCCCTCCTCCCGAGCCAAGAGACCGTCGCCGGAACCAGAGAGGCGATCGGCGCCAAACGAAACCCTAGCCGCCTCGCTCCATCATCACCTCCGTTGCGCCTCCGTGATGACCTCGCAGGTCGCTCCTTACTCCATCGACGACAAGGACCTCGACGACGCCGCGCTGTGGGCGTTGATGGACTCCGCCGCCGCCTCCGCCTCTCTCCCCTCCAGACCTCGCAAGCTGCTCCCGGTCAAGCACTCCTCCGCTCACCAGTCCCCGACTCCCGTCTCCTACCGCTCCCCGCCGGCTCTCGCCTTCCCCGCCAGATGCAACAAGCGAGCTCACCGCTCGCCTCGCGCGGACTCGGATTCCGGGGCTCTCTGGGACGGAGAGGTCGTGCAGGAGCCGGTGGACGGCGGTTACTGGCCGCCGCCGCCGCCGCCGCCTCCGCATAAGATCGCCAGGTCTTGCGGCTACGAAGCGAGCGAGGCCAGTCCCCTGCCGCTGGTGAGGAGCGCGCAGCGGACGCCGACGACGCCGATGCGCTCGCCGCCGGAGGCGTACTTGTCGCCGGAGATCTCGAGGTCGGCGATGAGCTCGCCGGGGTACTGTGTGCAGAGCGAGGAGAAGGAGGTCATGAGGCATTGCTTGAATGGGAAGTTTCCTACGGTTTCGCTGTTCAAGGAGTATCAGAATGCTGCCATGGCGGTATTGTCTGTTGCCTTTAGCTTTGGATTCCGATTTTCTCGTGCTCTGCACTATAGGATTCGTGCACCTGCAAAGTCTGTGCGTTATTATGTGATAAGAATTTAATTTACTAGATATCCCTGTGAACTTGCGTTGTTCCTTCAGGTTCATGCTGTTATGGTAGTAGACAGTAGTATAGAAATTACTTGGGGAGATTTATGGAGAAAACATGTCATTGTCAGTATAGTAACTCTTTTGCGTGTGTTGTCCTGTTGCTTTGGATTCTACGAGTAACTGCTCACCGTCATGTTTTGCAGTTTTAGGATGAGAACTGTATTATGCGGTGGTAGAAGTAGTTGAAGATTATGCATTCATGAAATACTGAGGACGTGTTCATTCTTCGTATGCTTTTAGGCTTTTAGCTGATAATACTGTTGCTTGATAATAGCCTGGATGGGAATAAGTAGAGTTGGGAGAAAACTTTCCATTAAGGACTATTGACGTGGTGGTGCAGCAGTAGCGATGGTCCAACAACAGCTGCCATTGCTGGGTAGCTGGCAGTGATCCTTTGGTTCAGTTTTTTGGTTTCTTTTTTCCCCAAAGAACTTGATTTCTAGTCCTATTCAATGCAAGCCAAACACTCACTGGGTCAGTATATGCCTGTACAGGATCTTGGATTTAGTCATTTCCTAGACAAGATATTAGGTAAAATTGGGTGTATTTTCTACAATATCCTATCTGGAAGTACAGTATAACATATGTGTAGTCTAAGTAAGTAAATGGTGGAGTAGATCAAAGTGCAATTTAGTGAGGGAAGTGGTTAAAACGAAGTAACAGTAATAAGTAGAGACCAATAGATACCAAAGAGCGAGCAGCTTTGGTAAATAATATACTGAAGGATGGAAAACTTGATGGGAATGTACCTCACAGGACACGAGTAGGAGATATGGGATGGAGAGGCACATCTGGCAACTTTTGAGATTGCAAATATCAGTTAAGCTTAAGGACAAAATTTTATATGATAGCAGTAAGGCTGGCAATGCTCTACATTGCACTTAGCAGGAAAAGGCTTTCCTAATATTGATGTTAATGGCGGTGTTATTGTTGTTGCTGCTGGGTCATTTGTTGTGATGATGAATCAAGAACTTTTAGAGCTAAAACCCCCTGCATTATTATCTCATAGAAGATGTTGGCCTTATGTTTTGTACTTTTGTTATACTCAGGAAATAGTATCTAGAAAGGAAGAAAACCATCTCTTTTACTTATAGAAAGAGGCCGGTATTGTTTGGCCCATGCATAGAAACTATGCTGCAGAAAGGTGCATTTTTGTGGTCATGACGAAATGATAAATGTTTTTCAAAGGAAAAAAGTCATCGGTTATATCCAGAAGATAAATATCAATGAAAATTAGGAGAATTACCGGTTGATGAGAAAGTACCTAGTTGGAAATTATGAAAAGGCTATAGAGATTGCTCAAAACATTTTCTTTTCCTGCATCTTCCTACTAGCCATCATGAGTAAAGCTAGTTGTTTTCTGTTTTCTCCTTTAGGGTCCACCTTCTTACTCAATATCTTCTTGTTTAAAGCATGATGCCTAAACTGGCCAACTTGCATAGCTTAAATATAGTCATTATTTTCAATTTTATTAGGTTTCTTTAGATGCCTCACAGAAAGATGAGATGATGAATGAGTACTTAGGACAGCGTGCACATGCAGTTAGTCTCCCCTGCGTCTGTGATCCGAGGATGTCGGTTGTTGCTTCTTGACTGCTTGATCTCTGTTTTATTTTTGCAAATAATCAGATCTACTTTCACTTTTTTACACGCGATTCTTTTTGTTTAACCGGACAGATTCTGGAGAAGACTGACTACACAATGATTTCTGGGAACCCGTTTATAAAGAAGTCAGGTAGTTCATCAGGTATTATAGTTTTAAGATGGTATGATAGATGTGACGAGAAGCATTTCGTGTTACAGGTTGGAGAAAAATATCATTCTACTTCAACCTTTCTTACGAAATCAGAGATAAGACGATTGAATTTGATGAGAACAGGAATGTACAGCGCGCTGAGTTTGTCGTCCGAGCATACATGCAGTATGTTCTGTCTTTTGGATGATTCTGTCATGAAGGCATGATTTAGTCAACTATTTAAGGCTGCTTCTCTACTGTTAAAAATCTCACCTGCAGTTGCATATGATCCTTTTACTAGGGGCGGTCGGTTTTCTGATGGTTGGGGCTCATGTGAGCGGCGAGAGAAGAGATTTTCAAAACCAAATCATGATATCCCTAGTACAGCTGAAACTAGAGCGAAGAATAAAGCGTGCCAGGTAATCTATATCAATATCCATAATTCATTGCTTGGCTCGTACTTGCATAATATAGTCTGATACTTTCAATTGCAAAAGTGGCAAGCATTTAATGCTCCTCATTGGCAAAAACAATGCATGCAAGTGGGCAACTGTTGGAGTTAATCAACAATTTCCAATGTTACAGCCTTTTGGTGTCCATGTGCTGTATCTGGAGCTCTCATGATTGACTTGTTTCACAGATTTTTCAACTTACAGCTTTTGTTTCTCTACTTTAGTTGTGTTGGGTTGGTTTATGGATGGGTCCTTTGGGCATTCGAGTTTTCACTAGGTTGTTCTGGTTTTGGCCACCGTTGGGTACGTCGTCCAAAGCATAAAATCTAGTTACCGATTATGACATCTAGTACTTCTTGTTACAATAACCTTAATAGTTATTCTAAATTTAAGTACGTGTATATTTATATATAGACACACACACACACACTTCAACTCGAGTATGTTAGTTTGTCACGTTTGATAAGTTCTTGGTCTTATGGAAGGCGACAAAGATAGGATCGTGTCGCTCTTTTGCAAAACAAGGGAGATGAAATTTATATTTCGTCTCCATTGCTCCACCCAAGTGTGATAAATTTTTAGTTTTGTTGCCGAAGTTCGGATTTGATTTGCTTGGACGCAACGTAACTAATTTATTGTCGTACTAGGGTGGAGCAATGGCGACAAATTGCTTGGCCTACAGTGACATAGGCCATCTATAGTGACGGAGCTATTTTGTCGCTAGATACTTTCATTGCCATAGCCCTGTTTTCTCGTATTGTGGAACTAAAGTCTCTTTCAATTTACTGGTAACATTTGAAACAAAGTGGGATTGCTCTGATAACGTTCAATTGGAGGATCTGCAGAATGTCTGTCGGTGGGTTATCTTTACCTTAGTATGGGCCAGCGGGAGACTTTCGTGCATCCTTTGAGTCAATATTATTTATGAAAGGCTGTCTTGCTTCTAAGGCGGCTCGTATTCTTCTTATCGTGTCGTGCTAGGGCAGGGAAATGGTCAATAGTTGTGCAGCCTCTGTCCTGACTGTCCTGATCCTTTAGCTTATTAATGTTGTAAGCATGTGATGTGAAATATATAGCTTATGTTCACCTGCAAGCACGTAACAAAGGAAGGACGGCGTATTTGGTATCTTGGAACTGATATATTGGGCTGTCCAAGTCACTGGTAGATAAATTGGTTCAACTCTCTGTAGATGCATATCCTAGTTTCTCTCCTGAACATGTCTCGTCTTGTTTCGTGCAGGACTTGCTGGGTATTGGGGAGTATCGTCCAGGTGCAAGCCGTGCTCCGTGAATAGTAACTCTTCTCTTCCTGGCACAGATAAAGTCCACGTTCCTTAGCTCTTACAATTCTCAGTGACCAGAGTCGTACGTTGTAACAAAACGGTCGTTTTAGCCACAGATAGCTATAATCAATTCTTGGAGTGGGAGGCAGAAGAAATTCGGGAAACCAACGTTATGCAGTGTCCCGGCATCCCAATCTCTCTTTGTTATACCTGAATTTACTCATGTAAATGCTCATTACAGAGTGAATTTGTGACTCATATTTCCGAAGTTTGTACTGACAACCTTTTCAGCTTGTTGGATGTCCGTGGCCTGATGTAGGCTGGTGACAAACCGAACAGAGAGACCCGCCCCTTCAAACTCAGAACCGTGAAAATGTTTCTTCCTCTTGGAACATTCGACCAGTCCTGCACGATAAGCAATTACCAACGCATCCGTAAATCCAGGAGGTGGATCCCATGGAATGTCCAAATTTGAACTTTCGTTTTTTGTTGAATCGAAATTTGAACTTAACGTAATAACAAATGGTCACTCGTATGATTTTTGTTTATCGTTGTCACGGTAGAAAAAAATTAATTGCCACTTAAAGTAGCATGCGCGGTTTATATGTGGACGATCTTTTCAGTAGTAATTCACCCACCACGTATACTCACTGAGAATTTTTCTTCCGCCAGATTATTCTTTTTATACAAGAAATCGGTGGTGACATGAATTATTATGAGTAGGATCTATAAGAAAAGTGAGATTTTAATGATAACATGAACGGAGTATTCGATGTCTTGTCCCACCGTTTTAATTCAGCGAAAGCAAATACGTGAATGATAAACCCAAAATTGGTGCATATTAGGTGTTAACGAGGGTCCATTTCGTACTTTTTTTTTGAAAACTCTTTTCATGTTCTTCTTTTAGGCTAAATAAACAATTTAGGAAGGGAAAGGTCATGAGCGCTGTAGCACAATCCCCGCTTTCCCTTGGGAAAGGTCCCATTTCGTGCCCCTTACCCCCCCGCCCTCTCTCTCTCTCTCTCGCTCTCGACTCACGTACGAAACTTTAAAAAGATACCCCACCTTCCCACTTCCCTTCTCTTCCCTTCTCTGCACTCCACTCCTGACTCCACCAGCTGAATTCGTGGATGCAGAGGACCAACTCATCTGTCAGATGTACTGAGATTTCTCCAACTCTTGACTCCCCTCCACCAGCCGAATCCATAGTTGCGGAGGACCCAACCCAACCGTGAGATGTCCTTCTCTATGCCGACACTCTCTCTCTCTCTCTCTCTCTCTCTCAGTTTTTTAATTGTCAAAGTAACTCGGCCTGGACTCACCCATGTGAAAGCATTGTGTTTTTTCTTTCTACTCAATGCTTGTCGGGCTTGTTAATGGATATACCGTTTTACTTTGCCGCCCTGCCTTTTCTTTCTGTTTATTGGGTCTGAGGGGGGGGGGGGTGTGCCCATTTCAATCGTCCCTTTTAAAAGCCATCCTCACTGGACGCTGTCGCTTTTTGCAGCTGCTGCTCGGGGGTCCTTGAAAAGCAGAGAAAGATGGTCACTTCTCTCTGGCCATGATGACTTTACCATCCTCGTCTCCCTCTTAGAATGCAGCAGTCCCCGTCGCTCTCTCCTTGACGGGGTGATAGGACGGACTCATGGCTCAGCAGGTTAGTTTCGCTTTCTTGTTAGCCTCCTGCTAATGGCGAGCATCGTGTCGTTTGGAGTGTTCCTTGCTTTCTGGCTTTTGACTGCTGTGTGTTTGATGAAATGCGTGTTCAGGAAGGCGGGTGGCCTCTGGGGCTGCGGCCGTTGAATGCGAGAGTTGGGGTTGTGAGGAATCGTGGGTACTCCGGATCTGCCTCTTTAAGCACTCTCCTCACCGGCTCTCCCAGTTCCATCCCCGACACTTCTTCGGATCTTGATACAGAAGTGAGTTGCGCTTGTATTTTATAGGCGTGTGCCGTTTGGGACATGTTAAACCTTAATTTCCTGTAAAATCACTTGTAAGTTGAACCTTGATTTCCTGTTAAGAGACGGCCTATATTACATGGCTGAAATGAGAAATGTCTCGCATCAAGTACTCCGCTAGGCTGCGATCATTCTCTTGGTACTTGAGTTTGTACCTGATCTCGGTAGAAATGAAAGTCTTTTATGTGCGCCGAATCCATCTTATGGAAGATGCTGCATTGGCTTGTCAAAACCCAATTTCTCCACCACTTGAATTGATAATTTATTTAGGTTGCTCATTAAATTTAGTGGTACATGTTTTGTCCTCAGCATTATCATCGATCATGCTTCAGAGACTTTCTTGCTTAGCTCCTCTTCAGTAATATTTGATTGACAAGGAGTCTCGTAGCATGCAAATGTGGGTAAATGTGGGAAACTGTTTTGTTCATGTTGTGTTGTTATTTTCCAGTCTGAGATTGGAAAGGAACATATGTTCTTTCCCATCCTTTAGGTTTAGAGCAAGTCAAAGTCCTAATGTCACAAGTTAGCGAGTATCGAGGAGTCGAAGAAACACTGAAGAACTTTGTTTTATTTGTTGATAATACGAATCCACAGCGGAATGCTGTCTAGAATAGAAAGCTTTTCTAATTTCACGTGTTCTGGTTTTCATTTGACCTGAACCTTTTTTTCATCAACTACTAATGGATTATCAACTAGATTTCACTCGAACCCAACAACCTCTGCCCGTGTAAATGATCAACTATATGGTTCACTGACTGTACATTCTCGATGTTGTTGTGTAAAATGGCCTAATACTAGGAGTCCGGTTTGACTTTTAACCATTTGATCAAGTATTGCAATACTCTAGATGATACCTGATACGTGGCTTGTTAGCCAATACTCTACATGCTATGCTAGTTAAGTTTTTGTTCTCATGGGACTGCCATGCATCTTGGTTATGTACTTGCTTTATTTTGTATCCAAGCTTCTCCATGCTTTTGTGTGAGATTTTTTATGCTATCAATTTCAGTCAACTGGGTCTTTCTTCCATGACAAAAGTGTTACACTTGGAAGCCTAATAGGTGCTTCTAGCATCCTAGAACTTCCGAGACGGTCGGCGAGGATCAGAATTGCTGAAAGTTGTAGAGATAAAAGGAGTTACAAGTCCAAATCCTGGTTCTTCTCTCTCTGCTCGAAACTTAACACAGATGCCGTGACCATCAATGGTGCTCAATCCCTTGGTTACTTTCTAGAAGCAGAAAGAAGAGCCACCAGCGGTTACAGAAGGAATCGCAACCTGGCACTTTGCCGGCCCAGTTACCTCACACAAGATCCTCCTGCTTCAGATTCAAGAGCGCTGTGTGTTGGCGGACAAGTGGCTACTAACTCAGCCATTCCCACGGGTGCAGACGGGAAGAGGAATCCTCGAAAGGTACAGGTAGATGATTTGAATGCTTATGGAGTTCCCTTATTCTTTTCATGTTTGAGAGGACAGATCATTGGATGATGGCATGAAATAGCATTTTTATCGATTGGTAACAGTCTAACAGTTGCTTCGAGCATTTGGGACTCACTGATAGAAAAAGTTCAATTGCGTCATTTTGAAGTCGATTTCATCTATTTCTATCTTTATTCGCTGAGCAGACACTTAAGGAAACTTTGCCGATCCTTTGACTTCTCAGATTTATCATAGTCCCGAGTCCGTAGCCTTTTTATAATGTGGTAACACATAATTAGAAGCCGGGGTTCACAATACTTGGGAAGGGACATCGGAAATGAAAGCGTACCTTATGGTCCGTTTGTTTTAAGGACAACTGTTTCCAGGAAACTACTTTCCGATTTTTCAGTGTTTGGATGCGGGAAAACTAATTGATTTTTCCATAACCGAAAATGACAAGATTAGATTGAGGGAAAACGACTTTCCTTTCTGGCAAGAAGGAGATCGCTTTTCTTAACTACCAAATAAATGAAAACTAACCATTTTTCTTGAAGATGATTTTCATGAATATATTTTTTTTTATCATGAATTCTTTAGTGAAACAAATGCACACTTAAATTTAATTTAAAGAACTGGGTAATTCCCAGAACGAATGTGCAATGCTTGAATGAAATTGGAGAATGCTAATGGGGTATAATGAAAATATAGATGAGATGTAACCATTACTGCAAGACACAGGTCCTCTTTGGATGTAATAGTTACTCCACAAAGAGGAAGATATGTTTACAGAACAAATGGAATATGCCACTCAAGAAGCCGACCCTAATTATCTCATCATATTTGGTTCAGAACTTCTCAAATGGGCGGGCCAGGCCCTCAATAAGGCCTAATTTTATTATCAAAGTCAGATAAACACAAATATAGTGAAGATTGTCTCTCTGATTGCCTTTGCAAGTGAGGAATGTTACCGATTCGTACGAATGCTGCTCCCGGTTTTCAACTTGAGCATGTCTAACCTATACTTCGAATAAAAGACAAGTTATGTACAGGTACGAGGATACTATTTTTCGAATTCAGATACAATGGTCGGGAGACTCTCTGTTCTCTAACATTTTCGAGCCCCTGATTTTTCAAATGAGCCAGAGGAATATATCTTCTAAGAACATAGTGGCTTTTAAACTATGAGGATTTGCAAGGAAAAATTGTCCAGAAAGTGCTAAACTTATCGTACTTTAGGCAATTCAATATTAAATCTTTCAATTTTGACAATTGAGTCCTAAATTTTTTTATGTTTTGCCAATTGAGTTCATCCGGCCAATTTTAACTGGAAATTGCTGATGTGGATGCCGGTAATGCACGTAGGACGGCCGGCGCTGACATAAATAATTTTTTTTTAAAAAATTGATTTTTTTATGATTTTTTTAATTTTTTCTTTCTTTCTTTTCATTTTTTTTCTACCGAATCTGGCAAGGGTTGCCAATCACAGGCAAGGGTTGACGACCCTCGTTGGCCATCATCGGCCATTGGGCAAGGGTTACGAAGCCCTCGCCTATGATCGGCTAGGGTTGGTCGGCGACCCTCATCAGGCTTGGAAGAATAAAAAAGAAAAAAAAGAAAGAAAAAAGAAGAAAAAAATAATAACAAACTCAATTTTTTTTAAATTATAAAAATTGCACACGTCAGCGCTGACCGTGCCATGTAGGACAGCTGACGTCCATGTTAGCGATTTCTAGTTAAAATTGGTTGGATAAACTCAATTGGTAAAACGTGAAAAATGTTTTTGACTCAATTGCAAAATGGAAAGATTTAGGACCGAATTGGCTAAAGTGCAATAGGTTTAGGGCTTTTTAGACAATTTTTCCGGATTTGCAAGTGAGCTCTGGACCTTACATGATCTATGCTATTCATGGATCGCGAATTATTTTGTTATCGGTAAGACTTGACATCTAGGATCCGAACAAGAGTGTATCCAGTTCGAGCATATCACGTCGTAAACCAATTTCAAAAAAATATTTTCGAATACGCCCGAGTTGTAGAGTTTGTCAAGAGAGAAATTTTCCAAATGATACGATCTATTTATGTTAAACTAGCATGAAGAATTTAGAACGATCATCAGTAGAAACCCAAAAAACATATTACATGAGAGATTTAATAGGTAGATTGCTCTAGTTTATAATGCCAATCACAGAAACAAAATACAAAGGTTCCACGTCGTTTCTGCGTTGTGAGTGGTTTACCCACCACATTGTTCAGAAAACACACGGAAAAAGACTCTAGAAGTTCCAATTAACTTTTTAGAACAAGCCTAGTTGAGGTTCTCAGGTTACTTAGCTCGTAAGAGTCTCCTACATGACATAACTTTACTGATAACCCAATTGGAATTGGCTTCTTTTAAGTTGAAAACATCCAAAGTGGCAAATACTTGGGAAATTAACCGATAATTCATAAAACTTTCTCCCAAACATTTTAATACATTTCAATTTTCTTCACTTCCGAGGGGAACCCAATGGCCTTTTTCCCGAAACTCAGGCTACAATTATATATATACCGTCACTGTTGTCGTGTCATTACGTCACGTCACTTTACCATATCGTATTATGTTATAATGTCATTGCACACCAGTCATGTTATGGCATTTTATCAAGTCGCCATGTGTTTTTTGCAAGCGTTATGCTCCATCAACGTTATCACATGCCATGCCATCCCAGTCTCACCATGAGCACGTAACCTATACATGATGGATAAAACATATTCATGCATTGGCGGGACCTAATTTTTTTCTTAGCGCCGGCCCTACCCAACTCATGCATGAACGCGCTTAATTGTCTCATCGTTCAATCAATCCAAAGATGACTGAAAGATCCCCCCCCCCCCCTCCCTCCTCTCTCTTCAAATTGTAATCGGTTAACTTTATCGAATGAACTTAGAATCCTCGTCGCTGAAATTGTCACGAGAACTTGTCATGAATGATGTGGTGGATATAACCAATTAAAATATAAAAAGAAAGAAAGAAAGAAAGGAAAGTGATTTGGGATGTCACTCTCTATGAATCAACACCCTTCCGACTGATCCAATCTTAGCTTCTAAGTGGGAGAGAGATAAGGCAAGAGAGGGAGAGATTCCGAGAGCTGTTCATGGACATTCACGTTCCTCCACACGTGCGCCCTCAATCATAGACATCTTGGATTCCCCCTCCCTCCCACCTCCGCGCACATTCCTCTTACGTAACCCTCCCCCGACCCCCCAGGCCCCACGGCAAAGCGGGCCGCGTCTGTCTACGTGCATGCGACGTCCCGTTTCCCTTTGCGATCCGCCCGGAACGATGTCGTTTCCGGTTGACTCGGCCCTGTCGAAGGAGATAAAGAGGACGCGGATTGGAGTTGGACCCCCCCTTTTCCTCCTTCTCCTCCTCCTCCTTTTCTTTTGAAACTACGAAGGACCTTAGCATCTTTGTTACCATCTCTCCTTTCCGCATGATGGGCCTCCCCATCTTTCCCTTTGTCGTCTCGAAAACCTATCAAATCACACTTTGACACACTCCCCTTTCCAGGTGAGGGGGGAGGATGGCATCCAAGGAAGAATACCGCCCCTTTTGGAATCTCCAAATTAGCCCATGGAGTCGACAGGCCCTGCTTTAATTCGTGACACGACCACTACGAGGTTGGAATTGTGGCATCTCATCTAGCACGCAACGCTGGACGCGTCGGTTGTCGTATCCGGTGTTGCGCCCGTTAAAAAGTATAGTGAAGATCGTGCGCTCTTTTCCCCCTGATAACGTGATCAACTTTTGAAATAAAGATTTGTCTCTCTCTTTACATATATATTAATATAAGACAATAACAAATGCGAGTCCAAATCTAGAAAAGCCGGTTGAGTAAACCGTCGTTCAGCCTTACTTGGGCACGGTGACGTTTTTAAAGAAAAAAATGTTCATTTATACCCTATGATTCACGATTAAAGCTAGGATAAAATGTAGATTTGGACAATTGGGTTTTTCAAATTTGTGGAAAAAAGCATGGTTCACAAAGCATGAGGCTCTTGCCTCGTACCTAATTTTTGGGATCGCCCAGTTTTGTGGCCCTGCCAAAAACCCTACCTTACATAGCTACAAGATCGAGGGCAAAATGTTGATAAGTTTGGTAAGCATTATTGTGATGGCTTGGCTCTATTTGAAAGTTTCTAAAAAGCAATTCGGCTGCATAAAGGTTATGTGAGGGCATACTAGTTGTTTGTTTAAGCAGCATAATGACTATAATGTAGAAAATGGGGAAATCACCTAGAGGGAGAAGGCTACGCAATTAAAGCTTGGTCGCATTCTCGATAAATCATATGATTTTTTTTTTCGATTTACCGGGATATTTTTAGGTGCCAACAAGAATGGAGTTTTCAAATAAAGAAAGATCATCAATTTCCACTGCATACCGTTAAATATAGGATCTCAGTCACCAACATGCTCAATTCTCCTAAAATCTAAACAGGTCTACAAAACCCACAAGTAGGTGAGCTTTATAATTGAGTAAAGGGATCACTAACTCAGCTAGATAATTACAAAAAAAGTCATAAACTTATTATATAGATGACAATTCGGTCATAAATCTTTTGATTTGTTCAATTTAGTTTTAAACCATTTGACGATTTGCTAATATAGTCCTTTTAGCCAATTTTGGCCAGAATCACTGACATAGATAATTTTTGCAATTTTTTAAAATCTTTTTAAAAAGAAAATTAATAAAAAAATTAAAAAAAGCTCTACATTAATGTTGGCTGTGACAGACGTTCACGTCTGTGATTTCCAACCAAAATTGGCTAGAAGGATTATAGTGGCAAATCGTCAATTGGTTTAAGACTATATTTACTAAATCGAAAAGTTTAGTACTGAATTGATATCCGTACAACAGATTTAAGACTTTTATGGTAATTTTTCCTTGACTCAGCAAACGCTTTATGGTTTCTACAATTCAATCACCAAACCATTCCCAGAATTATTTTGCGAGAAAGGCTCCTCGTTCTTCAATTCCACATGCTGTTCTCAGCTTGGTTTGCACATAAGAGGGGGTGATAAAGTATCTCACATTACTTGGCTATGACCCTATTGGATTTCAACGGGTTTTATAATCATATAATCTCTCTCCACCTAATCACTTAAATTTTTGGGAGAGACATTCTTAGAACTACCCTTACTAACCTAAAACAGTACTATTCTTCATCCAATCAACTGT